TTGGCCTCTTCTAGTGTAATTTGTCATCATTTTTGTGCACTCTTGGATTGCAGAACATGATATCATCAAAGAAAAAGAACGAAGTTGAAAAGAACGGAGAAATAGTGCAGAGCAAAAAGACATCTGTGGCTGGTAATTCTTGTTTTATATTAACTTTCTTTCCACTAGAAATGCTTGAATTTTATAATTTGTATGTCCCTTTTCACATGTTGCTTTATATTGGAGTTTTACTAGTTACATGAATGCTTCACATTATGTTTTAATGTTTAGGGTAGCATTTATGCATTAATTTCTTAAGTTTTGAATTCCATATTGAAGTGTCTGAATTGGTGCTTTCATTATATTGTATTGTAATATTGGAAGTGAGGTGGAACTGTTAATCACACTGTAATTATCCGAAGTCTGAGATTTCTCAGAGTTCTGTTGCTTTGTAGTGGTTTCAAAATTACTGCTGTAGTGTAATTTTTTCCCAAGTGGCCTCCTTTTGCATTACGAGGAGGAGGCTAAACATTTTCCTCTCTGTGTGGCCTAATGTTTTCCCTGTCCAACGGGGTCTTCTGTCCCCAACAGGTCAGTTTAATTGCACTGCCTGTGTATAAACGAATTTTGTTTCAGCTTTTTCCGAATTTAGAGTCTCTCTATCAAGTGCTGTTTCTCTTAAAACCATTGAAAGTTAAATGTTGAACAAAAAAGAAATGTAAATAAAAATTTAATGAGTACTCGTAAAGAAAGTTAGTGGAGCCAAATTGTCTTCTGTTAAGGCTGCTCAAAATGTGCTTTTTCTTAGTTGTTTTAAGCATACTTTATTATATTTTCCCTTAATATGAACTATTTTGGCATATTGTGAAGTTTTAATGAACCAATTTGTCAAGATCTATTTAAAATTGGTTCCATAAATAAAAATTCATTTTGAAATCAAATCAGAGATGTTTTATTATTATCGAAGTAAAATTCTGCAGATTAACTTTCAACTTTGTTTCGAAGAGCACTCTGAAAGTTTCTTTTGGACTTCTTACCCTTCTGTTGGCAAATGCATGACAGAATTATGTTTTGACAATGCTGATGTCTTTTCCTTATAATAACGACTGATGCAACTGTAACCGTGTCGCTGTAAAGAGCACATGTTTCCCACTAGTTCTTTTAAAGTTTCCTGTTCTTTCTTTAATTGGGTCAATCTCCGCTAAAAGATCAGATGTTGCTTTTGTGTTATTTAACAATTCCTTTATCTTATCTTTAGTTAAAAGCTCTTCTTCGTAATGAGCGCTTTTATTATCAAGGGGTTTTATAAGCACTCCATTCTTCTTTTGTAATTTTCTGATTCATTGTTTGACTTCTCTGTCTTCCATATGTGAAAATCCTTCGGCATCCTTTGCTTTTGAGATTTGTAAGATTTCTTAAACTTCATTTTCAGTCGATGGAAATTGTTTAAAGTAGCAGATAAATTCTTTCCGGTGTTGATGGATGAATGTATAAATGAAATTCTAGCAGTAAACAAATTAAATGGAATCCTTGAAGATACTGCTATACGTTTAACGTAGTTTAATACAGTTTAATGTAGAATACCTGCTTCAAGGCTAAAAGTAAAGTATTTGAATTATGTTTTACCTTTCGTCTGTTTTCAGACGTAGGTTCTATTCTACAATTTACGGAATTTCTCTTTATTGGACATCTCACATAGCTGACAAAATTTCATTCCTATGTTTAGGTTTTATAGTACGATACGTTGAGCATCCCTACATTAGTATATGACTTTGATTCCTTCGAAAGAAAAAGAGTATCTTAGTTTTCTTTAATTTTTGGTCAAAATGTTAGTATGTAGGTAATTACAATAGCTCTTCCATGAAATTGCTTTTAAATTTTTTGCATCATTTCAAAATGCTGTATCATTCAATGGCATTTGATGTGTTTTCGGCTTGCTGTATTAGAGCTGGGCTCGAACCAGGGCAGCTAGGCAATATGTTCTTTCCCTGAGTGAAATATTGCTATAATTTCATTAAAGTGACGTGGTAATATTTCAGGATAATTTCTTGTACATTGGACTAAGTGTTCCTCTCTCCTGGATGACAGTACCTAAGTAAAGAACTTAAAATTAGAAACGGTTCTTACGTTAAAATTCTGAATGAAATATTTCTTTTATGGTTTATGACTTTGTGTTTCCAAGATGTTCTTCGAAATCTGTTTTTAGAATGGTGTTTTTGAGCCCTTTCTAAAAAAAAATCTAAAAAAGTTTATATGTATAACTCTTTTAATGTTAATATATTGCGAGTTTGATTCTTACTCTTTTTTGATCTGTTATGTCACTAATTCTGTGTGTGAATTAAGATAGTTTAATATATAACAACTGCTTCAAAGCTAACAGTAAAGTTTATTTTGTCATTTAAAATTACCTGCTTATTGTCTTTTGGTGCCATCTTTCTACTAGCGCTGAAATTATTTACTCTTCTCGAAGATCATTATCCCTTTTTATTCTGTGTATCCATAATAACTGTCTAATTTTTTTTTCTTTCATTGTTCATGTTGTACCCATACATTAAAAACCCCTTCGTTTACTGTACTTCTGTCATATTAGGAAAATCATTTGCTTTTCTGTCGACTGCAGTCATGATTTTAGTAACAATGTAGCACGTTGCTAGAATTTAAAACAAAGAAGGCTACTTTTGATGTTTTATATATTAAGAAACAATATTAGATATTTCTCTTTGTGTATAATTATTCTTTAATTTCAAAGTAGTTAAAATCTAATGATTCCTTTTTCCCCCACCTTGGCCTCTTCTAGTGTAATTTGTCATCATTTTTGTGCACTCTTGGATTGCAGAACATGATATCATCAAAGAAAAAGAACGAAGTTGAAAAGAACGGAGAAATAGTGCAGAGCAAAAAGACATCTGTGGCTGGTAATTCTTGTTTTATATTAACTTTCTTTCCACTAGAAATGCTTGAATTTTATAATTTGTATGTCCCTTTTCACATGTTGCTTTATATTGGAGTTTTACTAGTTACATGAATGCTTCACATTATGTTTTAATGTTTAGGGTAGCATTTATGCATTAATTTCTTAAGTTTTGAATTCCATATTGAAGTGTCTGAATTGGTGCTTTCATTATATTGTATTGTAATATTGGAAGTGAGGTGGAACTGTTAATCACACTGTAATTATCCGAAGTCTGAGATTTCTCAGAGTTCTGTTGCTTTGTAGTGGTTTCAAAATTACTGCTGTAGTGTAATTTTTCCCAAGTGGCCTCCTTTTGCATTACGAGGAGGAGGCTAAACATTTTCCTCTCTGTGTGGCCTAATGTTTTCCCTGTCCAACGGGGTCTTCTGTCCCCAACAGGTCAGTTTAATTGCACTGCCTGTGTATAAACGAATTTTGTTTCAGCTTTTTTCCGAATTTAGAGTCTCTCTATCAAGTGCTGTTTCTCTTAAAACCATTGAAAGTTAAATGTTGAACAAAAAAGAAATGTAAATAAAAATTTAATGAGTACTCGTAAAGAAAGTTAGTGGAGCCAAATTGTCTTCTGTTAAGGCTGCTCAAAATGTGCTTTTTCTTAGTTGTTTTAAGCATACTTTATTATATTTTCCCTTAATATGAACTATTTTGGCATATTGTGAAGTTTTAATGAACCAATTTGTCAAGATCTATTTAAAATTGGTTCCATAAATAAAAATTCATTTTGAAATCAAATCAGAGATGTTTTATTATTATCGAAGTAAAATTCTGCAGATTAACTTTCAACTTTGTTTCGAAGAGCACTCTGAAAGTTTCTTTTGGACTTCTTACCCTTCTGTTGGCAAATGCATGACAGAATTATGTTTTGACAATGCTGATGTCTTTTCCTTATAATAACGACTGATGCAACTGTAACCGTGTCGCTGTAAAGAGCACATGTTTCCCACTAGTTCTTTTAAAGTTTCCTGTTCTTTCTTTAATTGGGTCAATCTCCGCTAAAAGATCAGATGTTGCTTTTGTGTTATTTAACAATTCCTTTATCTTATCTTTAGTTAAAAGCTCTTCTTCGTAATGAGCGCTTTTATTATCAAGGGGTTTTATAAGCACTCCATTCTTCTTTTGTAATTTTCTGATTCATTGTTTGACTTCTCTGTCTTCCATATGTGAAAATCCTTCGGCATCCTTTGCTTTTGAGATTTGTAAGATTTCTTAAACTTCATTTTCAGTCGATGGAAATTGTTTAAAGTAGCAGATAAATTCTTTCCGGTGTTGATGGATGAATGTATAAATGAAATTCTAGCAGTAAACAAATTAAATGGAATCCTTGAAGATACTGCTATACGTTTAACGTAGTTTAATACAGTTTAATGTAGAATACCTGCTTCAAGGCTAAAAGTAAAGTATTTGAATTATGTTTTTTACCTTTCGTCTGTTTTCAGACGTAGGTTCTATTCTACAATTTACGGAATTTCTCTTTATTGGACATCTCACATAGCTGACAAAATTTCATTCCTATGTTTAGGTTTTATAGTACGATACGTTGAGCATCCCTACATTAGTATATGACTTTGATTCCTTCGAAAGAAAAAGAGTATCTTAGTTTTCTTTAATTTTTGGTCAAAATGTTAGTATGTAGGTAATTACAATAGCTCTTCCATGAAATTGCTTTTAAATTTTTTGCATCATTTCAAAATGCTGTATCATTCAATGGCATTTGATGTGTTTCGGCTTGCTGTATTAGAGCTGGGCTCGAACCAGGGCAGCTAGGCAATATGTTCTTTCCCTGAGTGAAATATTGCTATAATTTCATTAAAGTGACGTGGTAATATTTCAGGATAATTTCTTGTACATTGGACTAAGTGTTCCTCTCTCCTGGATGACAGTACCTAAGTAAAGAACTTAAAATTAGAAACGGTTCTTACGTTAAAATTCTGAATGAAATATTTCTTTTATGGTTTATGACTTTTGTTTCCAAGATGTTCTTCGAAATCTGTTTTTAGAATGGTGTTTTTGAGCCCTTTCTAAAAAAAAATCTAAAAAAGTTTATATGTATAACTCTTTTAATGTTAATATATTGCGAGTTTGATTCTTACTCTTTTTTGATCTGTTATGTCACTAATTCTGTGTGTGAATTAAGATAGTTTAATATATAACAACTGCTTCAAAGCTAACAGTAAAGTTTATTTTGTCATTTAAAATTACCTGCTTATTGTCTTTTGGTGCCATCTTTCTACTAGCGCTGAAATTATTTACTCTTCTCGAAGATCATTATCCCTTTTTATTCTGTGTATCCGTAATAACTGTCTAATTTTTTTTTTCTTTCATTGTTCATGTTGTACCCATACATTAAAAACCCCCTTCGTTTACTGTACTTCTGTCATATTAGGAAAATCATTTGCTTTTCTGTCGACTGCAGTCATGATTTTAGTAACAATGTAGCACGTTGCTAGAATTTAAAACAAAGAAGGCTACTTTTGAATGTTTTATATATTAAGAAACAATATTAGATATTTCTCTTTGTGTATAATTATTCTTTAATTTCAAAGTAGTTAAAATCTAATGATTCCTTTTCCCCCACCTTTTCCCCCCCTTGGCCTCTTCTAGTGTAATTTGTCATCATTTTTGTGCACTCTTGGATTGCAGAACATGATATCATCAAAGAAAAAAGAAAGTTGAAAAGAACGGAGAAATAGTGCAGAGCAAAAAGACATCTGTGGCTGGTAATTCTTGTTTTATATTAACTTTATTTCCACTAGAAATGCTTGAATTTTATAATTTGTATGTCCCTTTTCACATGTTGCTTTATATTGGAGTTTTACTAGTTACATGAACGCTTCACATTATGTTTTAATGTTTAGGGTAGCATTTATGCATTAATTTCTTAAGTTTTGAATTCCATATTGAAGTGTCTGAATTGGTGCTTTCATTATATTGTATTGTAATATTGGAAGTGAGGTGGAACTGTTAATCACACTGTAATTATCCGAAGTCTGAGATTTCTCAGAGTTCTGTTGCTTTGTAGTGGTTTCAAAATTACTGCTGTAGTGTAATTTTTTCCCAAGTGGCCTCCTTTTGCATTACGAGGAGGAGGCTAAACATTTTCCTCTCTGTGTGGCCTAATGTTTTCCCTGTCCAACGGGGTCTTCTGTCCCCAACAGGTCAGTTTAATTGCACTGCCTGTGTATAAACGAATTTTGTTTCAGCTTTTTTTCCGAATTTAGAGTCTCTCTATCAAGTGCTGTTTCTCTTAAAACCATTGAAAGTTAAATGTTGAACAAAAAAGAAATGTAAATAAAAATTTAATGAGTACTCGTAAAGAAAGTTAGTGGAGCCAAATTGTCTTCTGTTAAGGCTGCTCAAAATGTGCTTTTTCTTAGTTGTTTTAAGCATACTTTATTATATTTTCCCTTAATATGAACTATTTTGGCATATTGTGAAGTTTTAATGAACCAATTTGTCAAGATCTATTTAAAATTGGTTCCATAAATAAAAATTCATTTTGAAATCAAATCAGAGATGTTTTATTATTATCGAAGTAAAATTCTGCAGATTAACTTTCAACTTTGTTTCGAAGAGCACTCTGAAAGTTTCTTTTGGACTTCTTACCCTTCTGTTGGCAAATGCATGACAGAATTATGTTTTGACAATGCTGATGTCTTTTCCTTATAATAACGACTGATGCAACTGTAACCGTGTCGCTGTAAAGAGCACATGTTTCCCACTAGTTCTTTTAAAGTGTCCTGTTCTTTCTTTAATTGGGTCAATCTCCGCTAAAAGATCAGATGTTGCTTTTGTGTTATTTAACAATTCCTTTATCTTATCTTTAGTTAAAAGCTCTTCTTCGTAATGAGCGCTTTTATTATCAAGGGGTTTTATAAGCACTCCATTCTTCTTTTGTAATTTTCTGATTCATTGTTTGACTTCTCTGTCTTCCATATGTGAAAATCCTTCGGCATCCTTTGCTTTTGAGATTTGTAAGATTTCTTAAACTTCATTTTCAGTCGATGGAAATTGTTTAAAGTAGCAGATAAATTCTTTCCGGTGTTGATGGATGAATGTATAAATGAAATTCTAGCAGTAAACAAATTAAATGGAATCCTTGAAGATACTGCTATACGTTTAACGTAGTTTAATACAGTTTAATGTAGAATACCTGCTTCAAGGCTAAAAGTAAAGTATTTGAATTATGTTTTTACCTTTCGTCTGTTTTCAGACGTAGGTTCTATTCTATTCTACAATTTACGGAATTTCTCTTTATTGGACATCTCACATAGCTGACAAAATTTCATTCCTATGTTTAGGTTTTATAGTACGATACGTTGAGCATCCCTACATTAGTATATGACTTTGATTCCTTCGAAAGAAAAAGAGTATCTTAGTTTTCTTTAATTTTTGGTCAAAATGTTAGTATGTAGGTAATTACAATAGCTCTTCCATGAAATTGCTTTTAAATTTTTTGCATCATTTCAAAATGCTGTATCATTCAATGGCATTTGATGTGTTTTCGGCTTGCTGTATTAGAGCTGGGCTCGAACCAGGGCAGCTAGGCAATATGTTCTTTCCCTGAGTGAAATATTGCTATAATTTCATTAAAGTGACGTGGTAATATTTCAGGATAATTTCTTGTACATTGGACTAAGTGTTCCTCTCTCCTGGATGACAGTACCTAAGTAAAGAACTTAAAATTAGAAACGGTTCTTACGTTAAAATTCTGAATGAAATATTTCTTTTATGGTTTATGACTTTGTGTTTCCAAGATGTTCTTCGAAATCTGTTTTTAGAATGGTGTTTTTGAGCCCTTTCTAAAAAAAAATCTAAAAAAGTTTATATGTATAACTCTTTTAATGTTAATATATTGCGAGTTTGATTCTTACTCTTTTTTGATCTGTTATGTCACTAATTCTGTGTGTGAATTAAGATAGTTTAATATATAACAACTGCTTCAAAGCTAACAGTAAAGTTTTTATTTTGTCATTTAAAATTACCTGCTTATTGTCTTTTGGTGCCATCTTTCTACTAGCGCTGAAATTATTTACTCTTCTCGAAGATCATTATCCCTTTTTATTCTGTGTATCCGTAATAACTGTCTAATTTTTTTTTCTTTCATTGTTCATGTTGTACCCATACATTAAAAACCCCTTCGTTTACTGTACTTCTGTCATATTAGGAAAATCATTTGCTTTTCTGTCGACTGCAGTCATGATTTTAGTAACAATGTAGCACGTTGCTAGAATTTAAAACAAAGAAGGCTACTTTTGAATGTTTTATATATTAAGAAACAATATTAGATATTTCTCTTTGTGTATAATTATTCTTTAATTTCAAAGTAGTTAAAAAATGATTCTTTTCCCCCATCTAGTGTGTCATCATTTTTGTCATCATTTATTGAAAAGAACGGAGAAATAGTGCAGAGCAAAAAGACATCTGTGGCTGGTAATTCTTGTTTTATATTAACTTTCTTTCCACTAGAAATGCTTGAATTTTATAATTTGTATGTCCCTTTTCACATGTTGCTTTATATTGGAGTTTTACTAGTTACATGAATGCTTCACATTATGTTTTAATGTTTAGGGTAGCATTTATGCATTAATTTCTTAAGTTTTGAATTCCATATTGAAGTGTCTGAATTGGTGCTTTCATTATATTGTATTGTAATATTGGAAGTGAGGGGGGAACTGTTAATCACACTGTAATTATCCGAAGTCTGAGATTTCTCAGAGTTCTGTTGCTTTGTAGTGGTTTCAAAATTACTGCTGTAGTGTAATTTTTCCCAAGTGGCCTCCTTTTGCATTACGAGGAGGAGGCTAAACATTTTCCTCTCTGTGTGGCCTAATGTTTTCCCTGTCCAACGGGGTCTTCTGTCCCCAACAGGTCAGTTTAATTGCACTGCCTGTGTATAAACGAATTTTGTTTCAGCTTTTTCCGAATTTAGAGTCTCTCTATCAAGTGCTGTTTCTCTTAAAACCATTGAAAGTTAAATGTTGAACAAAAAAGAAATGTAAATAAAAATTTAATGAGTACTCGTAAAGAAAGTTAGTGGAGCCAAATTGTCTTCTGTTAAGGCTGCTCAAAATGTGCTTTTTCTTAGTTGTTTTAAGCATACTTTATTATATTTTCCCTTAATATGAACTATTTTGGCATATTGTGAAGTTTTAATGAACCAATTTGTCAAGATCTATTTAAAATTGGTTCCATAAATAAAAATTCATTTTGAAATCAAATCAGAGATGTTTTATTATTATCGAAGTAAAATTCTGCAGATTAACTTTCAACTTTGTTTCGAAGAGCACTCTGAAAGTTTCTTTTGGACTTCTTACCCTTCTGTTGGCAAATGCATGACAGAATTATGTTTTGACAATGCTGATGTCTTTTCCTTATAATAACGACTGATGCAACTGTAACCGTGTCGCTGTAAAGAGCACATGTTTCCCACTAGTTCTTTTAAAGTGTCCTGTTTCTTTCTTTAATTGGGTCAATCTCCGCTAAAAGATCAGATGTTGCTTTTGTGTTATTTAACAATTCCTTTATCTTATCTTTAGTTAAAAGCTCTTCTTCGTAATGAGCGCTTTTATTATCAAGGGGTTTTATAAGCACTCCATTCTTCTTTTGTAATTTTCTGATTCATTGTTTGACTTCTCTGTCTTCCATATGTGAAAATCCTTCGGCATCCTTTGCTTTTGAGATTTGTAAGATTTCTTAAACTTCATTTTCAGTCGATGGAAATTGTTTAAAGTAGCAGATAAATTCTTTCCGGTGTTGATGGATGAATGTATAAATGAAATTCTAGCAGTAAACAAATTAAATGGAATCCTTGAAGATACTGCTATACGTTTAACGTAGTTTAATACAGTTTAATGTAGAATACCTGCTTCAAGGCTAAAAGTAAAGTATTTGAATTATGTTTTACCTTTCGTCTGTTTTCAGACGTAGGTTCTATTCTACAATTTACGGAATTTCTCTTTATTGGACATCTCACATAGCTGACAAAATTTCATTCCTATGTTTAGGTTTTATAGTACAATAGTTGAGCATCCCTACATTAGTATATGACTTTGATTCCTTCGAAAGAAAAAGAGTATCTTAGTTTTCTTGAATTTTTGGTCAAAATTTTAGTATGTAGGTAATTTGCAATAGCTCTTCCACGAAATTGCATTTAAATTTTTTTGCAATCATTTCAAAATGCTGTATCATTCAATGGCATTTGATGTGTTTTGGCTTGCTGTATTAAAGCTGGGCTCGAACCCGGGCAGCTAGACAATATGTTCTTTCCCTGAGTGAAATATTGCTATAATTTCATTAAAGTGACGTGGTAATATTTCAGGATAATTTCTTGTACATTGGACTAAGCGTTCCTCTCTCATGGATGAGAGTACCTAAGTAAAGAACTTAAAATTAGAAACGGTTCTTACGTTAAAATTCTGAATGAAATATTTCTTTTATGGTTTATGACTTTTGTTTCCAAGATGTTCTTCGAAATCTGTTTTTAGAATGGTGTTTTTTTTGAGCCCTTTCTAAAAAAAAAAATCTAAAAAAAGTATATATGTATAGCTCTTTTAATGTTAATATATTGCGAGTTTGATTCTTACTCTTTTTTGATCTGTTATGTCACTAATTCTGTGTGTGAATTAAGATAGTTTAATATATAACACCTGCTTCAAAGCTAACAGTAAAGTTTATTTTTTGTCATTTAAAATTACCTGCTTATTGTTTGTCTTTTGGTGCCATCTTTCTACCAGCGCTGAAATTATTTACTCTTCTCGAAGATCATTATCCCTTTTATTCTGTGTATCCGTAATAACTGTCTAATTTTTTTTTCTTTCATTGTTCATGTTGTACCCATACATTAAAAACCCCTTTCGCTTACTGTACTTCTGTCGTATTAGGAAAATCATTTGCTTTTCTATCGACTGCAGTCATGATTTTAGTAACAATGTAGCACATTGCTGGAATTTAAAACAAAGAAGGCTACTTTTGAAGTTTTATATATTAAGAAACAATATTAGATATTTCTCTTTGTGTATAATTATTCTTTAATTTCAAAGTAGTTAAAATCTAATGATTCCTTTTTCCCCCCCTTGGCCTCTTCTAGTGTAATTTGTCATCATTTTTGTGCACTCTTGGATTGCAGAACATGATATCATGAAAGAAAAAGAACGAAGATGAAAAGAACGGAGAAATAGTGCAGAGCAAAAAGACATCTGTGGCTGGTAATTCTTGTTTTATATTAACTTTATTTCCACTAGAAATGCTTGAATGTTATAATTTGTATGTCCCTTTTCACATGTTGCTTTATATTGGAGTTTTACTAGTTATTTATTTTACATGAACGCTTCACATTATGTTTTAATGTTTAGGGTAGCATTTATGCATTAATTTCTTAGGTTTTGAATTCCATATTGAAGTGTCTGAATTGGTGCTTTCTTTATATTGTATTGTAATATTCGAAGTGAGGTCGAACTGTTAATCACACTATAATTATCAGAAGTCTGAGATTTGTTAGAGTTCTGTTGCTTTGTAGTGGTTTCAAAATTACTGCTGTAGTGTAATTTTTTCCCAAGTGGCCTCCTTTCGCATTACGAGGAGGAGGCTAAACATTTTCCTCTCTGTGTGGCCTAATATTTTCCCTGTCCAACGGGGTCTTCTCTTCCCCAACAGGTCAGTGTAATTGCACTGCCTGTGTATAAACCAATTTTGTTTCAGTTTTTTCCGAATTTAGAGTCTCTCTATCAAGTGCTGTTTCTCTTAAAACCATTGAAAGTTAAATGTTGAACAAAAAAGAAATGTAAATAAAAATTTAATGAGTACTCGTAAAGAAAGTTAGTGGAGCCAAATTGTCTTCTGTTAAGGCTGCTCAAAATGTGCTTTTTCTTAGTTGTTTTAAGCATACTTTATTATATTTTCCCTTAATCTGAACTATTTTGGCATATTGTGAAGTTTTATGAACCAATTTGCGAAGATCTATTTAAAATTGATTCCATAAATAAAAATTCATTTTGAAATCAAATCAGAGATGTTTTATTATTATCGAAGTAAAATTCTGCAGATTAACTTTCAACTTTGTTTTGAAAAGCACTCTGAAAGTTTCTTTTGGACTTCTTTACCGTTCTCTTGGCAAATGCATGACAGAATTATTTTTGAAAAATGCTGATGTCTTTTGCTTATAATAATGACTGATGCAACTGTAACCGTGTCGCTGTAAAGAGCACATGTTTCCCACTAGTTCTTTTAAAGTGTCCTGTTTTTCTTTAATTGGGTCAATCTCCGCTAAAAGATCAGATGTTGCTTTTGTGTTATTTAACAATTCCTTTATCTTATCTTTAGTTAAAAGCTCTTCTTCGTAATGAGCGCTTTTATTATCAAGGGGTTTTATAAGCACCCAATTCTTCTTTTGTAATTTTCTGATTCATTGTTTGACTTCTCTGTCTTCCATATGTGAAAATTCCTTCGGCATCCTTTGCTTTTGAGATTTGTAAGATTTTTTAAACTTCATTTTCAGTCGATGGAAATTGTTTAAAGTAGCAGATAAATTCTTTCCGGTGTTGATGGATGAATGTATAAATGAAATTCTAGCAGTAAACAAATTAAATGGAATCCTTGAAGATACTGCTATACGTTTAACGTAGTTTAATACAGTTTAATGTAGAATACCTGCTTCAAGGCTAAAAGTAAAGTATTTGAATTATGTTTTACCTTTCGTCTGTTTTCAGACGTAGGTTCTATTCTACAATTTACGGAATTTCTCTTTATTGGACATCTCACATAGCTGACAAAATTTCATTCCTATGTTTAGGTTTTATAGTACACGATACGTTGAGCATCCCTACATTAGTATATGACTTTGATTCCTTCGAAAGAAAAAGAGTATCTTAGTTTTCTTTAATTTTTGGTCAAAATTTTAGTATGTAGGTAATTACAATAGCTCTTCCATGAAATTGCTTTTAAATTTTTTGCATCATTTCAAAATGCTGTATCATTCAATGGCATTTGATGTGTTTTCGGCTTGCTGTATTAAAGCTGGGCTCGAACCAGGGCAGCTAGGCAATATGTTCTTTCCCTGAGTGAAATATTGCTATAATTTCATTAAAGTGACGTGGTAATATTTCAGGATAATTTCTTGTACATTGGACTAAGTGTTCCTCTCTCCTGGATGACAGTACCTAAGTAAAGAACTTAAAATTAGAAACGGTTCTTACGTTAAAATTCTGAATGAAATATTTCTTTTATGGTTTATGACTTTTGTTTCCAAGATGTTCTTCGAAATCTGTTTTTAGAATGGTGTTTTTGAGCCCTTTCTAAAAAAAAATCTAAAAAAGTTTATATGTATAGCTCTTTTAATGTTAATATATTGCGAGTTTGATTCTTACTCTTTTTTGATCTGTTATGTCACTAATTCTGTGTGTGAATTAAGATAGTTTAATATATAACAACTGCTTCAAAGCTAACAGTAAAGTTTATTTTTTGTCATTTAAAATTACCTGCTTATTGTCTTTTGGTGCCATCTTTCTACCTAGCGCTGAAATTATTTACTCTTCTCGAAGATCATTATCCCTTTTTATTCTGTGTATCCGTAATAACTGTCTAATTTTTTTTTCTTTCATTGTTCATGTTGTACCCATACATTAAAAATCCCCTTCGCTTACTGTACTTCTGTCGTATTAGGAAAATCATTTGCTTTTCTATCGACTGCAGTCATGATTTTAGTAACAATGTAGCACATTGCTAGAATTTAAAACAAAGAAGGCTACTTTTGAAGTTTTATATATTAAGAAACAATATTAGATATTTCTCTTTGTGTATAATTATTCTTTAATTTCAAAGTAGTTAAAATCTAATGATTCCTTTTCCCCCACCTTGGCCTCTTCTAGTGTAATTTGTCATCATTTTTGTGCACTCTTGGATTGCAGAACATGATATCATCAAAGAAAAAGAACGAAGTTGAAAGAAACGGAGAAATAGTGCAGAGCAAAAAGACATCTGTGGCTGGTAATTCTTGTTTTATATTAACTTTATTTCCACTAGAAATGCTTGAATGTTATAATTTGTATGTCCCTTTTCACATGTTGCTTTATATTGGAGTTTTACTAGTTATTTATTGACATGAACGCTTCACATTATGTTTTAATGTTTAGGGTAGCATTTATGCATTAATTTCTTAGGTTTTGAATTCCATATTGAAGTGTCTGAATTGGTGCTTTCATTATATTGTATTGTAATATTGGAAGTGAGGTGGAACTGTTAATCACACTATAATTATCAGAAGTCTGAGATTTCTCAGAGTTCTGTTGCTTTGTAGTGGTTTCAAAATTACTACTGCTGTAGTGTAATTTTTTCCCAAGTGGCCTCCTTTTGCATTACGAGGAGGAGGCTAAACATTTTCCTCTCTGTGTGGCCTAATATTTTCCCTGTCCAACGGGGTCTTCTGTCCCCAACAGGTCAGTTTAATTGCACTGCCTGTGTATAAACGAATTTTGTTTCAGCTTTTTTCCGAATTTAGAGTCTCTCTATCAAGTGCTGTTTCTCTTAAAACCATTGAAAGTTAAATGTTGAACAAAAAAGAAATGTAAATAAAAATTTAATGAGTACTCGTAAAGAAAGTTAGTGGAGCCAAATTGTCTTCTGTTAAGGCTGCTCAAAATGTGCTTTTTCTTAGTTGTTTTAAGCATACTTTATTATATTTTCCCTTAATATGAACTATTTTGGCATATTGTGAAGTTTTAATGAACCAATTTGTCGAAGATCTATTTAAAATTGGTTCCATAAATAAAAATTCATTTTGAAATCAAATCAGAGATGTTTTATTATTATCGAAGTAAAATTCTGCAGATTAACTTTCAACTTTGTTTCGAAGAGCACTCTGAAAGTTTCTTTTGGACTTCTTACCCTTCTGTTGGCAAATGCATGACAGAATTATGTTTTGACAATGCTGATGTCTTTTCCTTATAATAACGACTGATGCAACTGTAACCGTGTCGCTGTAAAGAGCACATGTTTCCCACTAGTTCTTTTAAAGTGTCCTGTTTTTCTTTAATTGGGTCAATCTCCGCTAAAAGATCAGATGTTGCTTTTGTGTTATTTAACAATTCCTTTATCTTATCTTTAGTTAAAAGCTCTTCTTCGTAATGAGCGCTTTTATTATCAAGGGGTTTTATAAGCACTCCATTCTTCTTTTGTAATTTTCTGATTCATTGTTTGACTTCTCTGTCTTCCATATGTGAAAATCCTTCGGCATCCTTTGCTTTTGAGATTTGTAAGATTTTTTAAACTTCATTTTCAGTCGATGGAAATTGTTTAAAGTAGCAGATAAATTCTTTCCGGTGTTGATGGATGAATGTATAAATGAAATTCTAGCAGTAAACAAATTAAATGGAATCCTTGAAGATACTGCTATACGTTTAACGTAGTTTAATACAGTTTAATGTAGAATACCTGCTTCAAGGCTAAAAGTAAAGTATTTGAATTATGTTTTACCTTTCGTCTGTTTTCAGACGTAGGTTCTATTCTACAATTTACGGAATTTCTCTTTATTGGACATCTCACATAGCTGACAAAATTTCATTCCTATGTTTAGGTTTTATAGTACGATACGTTGAGCATCCCTACATTAGTATATGACTTTGATTCCTTCGAAAGAAAAAGAGTATCTTAGTTTTCTTTAATTTTTGGTCAAAATGTTAGTATGTAGGTAATTACAATAGCTCTTCCATGAAATTGCTTTTAAATTTTTTGCATCATTTCAAAATGCTGTATCATTCAATGGCATTTGATGTGTTTCGGCTTGCTGTATTAGAGCTGGGCTCGAACCAGGGCAGCTAGGCAATATGTTCTTTCCCTGAGTGAAATATTGCTATAATTTCATTAAAGTGACGTGGTAATATTTCAGGATAATTTCTTGTACATTGGACTAAGTGTTCCTCTCTCCTGGATGACAGTACCTAAGTAAAGAACTTAAAATTAGAAACGGTTCTTACGTTAAAATTCTGAATGAAATATTTCTTTTATGGTTTATGACTTTGTGTTTCCAAGATGTTCTTCGAAATCTGTTTTTAGAATGGTGTTTTTGAGCCCTTTCTAAAAAAAAATCTAAAAAAGTTTATATGTATAACTCTTTTAATGTTAATATATTGCGAGTTTGATTCTTACTCTTTTTTGATCTGTTATGTCACTAATTCTGTGTGTGAATTAAGATAGTTTAATATATAACAACCTGCTTCAAAGCTAACAGTAAAGTTTATTTTGTCATTTAAAATTACCTGCTTATTGTCTTTTGGTGCCATCTTTCTACTAGCGCTGAAATTATTTACTCTTCTCGAAGATCATTATCCCTTTTTATTCTGTGTATCCATAATAACTGTCTAATTTTTTTTCTTTCATTGTTCATGTTGTACCCATACATTAAAAACCCCTTCGTTTACTGTACTTCTGTCATATTAGGAAAATCATTTGCTTTTCTGTCGACTGCAGTCATGATTTTAGTAACAATGTAGCACGTTGCTAGAATTTAAAACAAAGAAGGCTACTTTTGAATGTTTTATATATTAAGAAACAATATTAGATATTTCTCTTTGTGTATAATTATTCTTTAATTTCAAAGTAGTTAAAATCTAATGATTCCTTTTCCCCCACCTTGGCCTCTTCTAGTGTAATTTGTCATCATTTTTGTGCACTCTTGGATTGCAGAACATGATATCATCAAAGAAAAAGAACGAAGTTGAAAAGAACGGAGAAATAGTGCAGAGCAAAAAGACATCTGTGGCTGGTAATTCTTGTTTTATATTAACTTTATTTCCACTAGAAATGCTTGAATGTTATAATTTGTATGTCCCTTTTCACATGTTGCTTTATATTGGAGTTTTACTAGTTACATGAATGCTTCACATTATGTTTTAATGTTTAGGGTAGCATTTATGCATTAATTTCTTAAGTTTTGAATTCCATATTGAAGTGTCTGAATTGGTGCTTTCATTATATTGTATTGTAATATTGGAAGTGAGGGGGGAACTGTTAATCACACTGTAATTATCCGAAGTCTGAGATTTCTCAGAGTTCTGTTGCTTTGTAGTGGTTTCAAAATTACTGCTGTGTAGTGTAATTTTTCCCAAGTGGCCTCCTTTTGCATTACGAGGAGGAGGCTAAACATTTTCCTCTCTGTGTGGCCTAATGTTTTCCCTGTCCAACGGGGTCTTCTGTCCCCAACAGGTCAGTTTAATTGCACTGCCTGTGTATAAACGAATTTTGTTTCAGCTTTTTCCGAATTTAGAGTCTCTCTATCAAGTGCTGTTTCTCTTAAAACCATTGAAAGTTAAATGTTGAACAAAAAAGAAATGTAAATAAAAATTTAATGAGTACTCGTAAAGAAAGTTAGTGGAGCCAAATTGTCTTCTGTTAAGGCTGCTCAAAATGTGCTTTTTCTTAGTTGTTTTAAGCATACTTTATTATATTTTCCCTTAATATGAACTATTTTGGCATATTGTGAAGTTTTAATGAACCAATTTGTCAAGATCTATTTAAAATTGGTTCCATAAATAAAAATTCATTTTGAAATCAAATCAGAGATGTTTTATTATTATCGAAGTAAAATTCTGCAGATTAACTTTCAACTTTGTTTCGAAGAGCACTCTGAAAGTTTCTTTTGGACTTCTTACCCTTCTGTTGGCAAATGCATGACAGAATTATGTTTTGACAATGCTGATGTCTTTTCCTTATAATAACGACTGATGCAACTGTAACCGTGTCGCTGTAAAGAGCACATGTTTCCCACTAGTTCTTTTAAAGTGTCCTGTTCTTTCTTTAATTGGGTCAATCTCCGCTAAAAGATCAGATGTTGCTTTTGTGTTATTTAACAATTCCTTTATCTTATCTTTAGTTAAAAGCTCTTCTTCGTAATGAGCGCTTTTATTATCAAGGGGTTTTATAAGCACTCCATTCTTCTTTTGTTTTCTGATTCATTGTTTGACTTCTCTGTCTATTTGAAAAATACTGCATTGTGAATATTAAGAATTAAATGGAATTCTTCGGACGATACCCAAACACGCCTAACGTTCGCCGCAGTAGAGTTCAAATCTACAACGTTTAGTTTCAAATTTGAAAACAGAAATAAAGGCATCATAGAAAGAAACAGCAGTTTTGTCGCCATAGTTTCCCTTTTCCGATTCTCATAACTCTTTCTGAGGCGTGCTATAAAGCAGAACAAAAGATGGCGATACTTATGAAGCGAATGACAACAATGTTAATAATGAAAAGGAGGATAATGACATTCATTTGGATTTCTCTCAGAAAAGATTTCGAAGAACTACTAGAAAATTACGAGTCGGATATAAGTACAAAGACATTAAATTAATGCACATTAAAATCAGTAGAGCTGATATTTCTTCAATTATTTGTCTTATACTATCATTTTTACAATGACAAAATTACTTGTAAATCTGTCTGAACTCATATGTAGCAGACCTCTCAGTTTCAGTAATAAATGATTTTCTGAAAATTATCAGTTTATATATGGAAATGTCCGGTAATAATATGATTCATAAATAGAGACATTAATTATCACGTCTATGCAATCATCTTGAACAATGCGGGTATTAAAGGCGTGAGCGTACAGGACAGTAGTAAAATCCGTTGAAATTCATTAGGAATGTACTATGTGACGACTCGCTGGATTCCTTCATCCAACAAACTAAAATTTTAATCCATTTAAAATTTATTTTCAGTCTAGTTAACAGATGATTTAAAGAGATTAACAGATGCCGCTAAAGAGCAGAATTCTAAACCGTTATCTTTACCATAAGACCGCCTATTTTCGTGCTCATTGTTGAATTGTTTAGCTTCTGAATTAATTGCTGTTTTGCTCCATCAGTGGTATCATTTGAGAATATCTATCACGCCAAATATTTAAGATATATTATTTTAGAGTTTTTGCGAAAATTTTAAACTTAATCATACATTTATAATTTAAAAATAAAATTAATACATTAATAAGAATTGAAAAAGAAACCTTGTTTATTCGAGATCATCAACAGAATTGAGCTGAAATTTTGGAATAGTTGAATGAAGACTTT